ATATATGTATATGTATATATATATATATGTGTGTGTGTATATATATATATGTATATCTATATCTATATATATGTGTGTATGTATGTATGTATGTATATATATATATGTATGTATATATATATATATGTATGTATATATACATATACATATGCACACACATGCAGTGTGAGTGACTGGTATGTTGAGAATCCACCAGCATGCGGTTTATGCCAGCTGAAACTGGCAAAGTAAAGCATGGCTCCATAGGTAGGTAATTCATCTTTTTGTGAACTTTCTAGGAGTGACATACTAGAAATTCATTAGTGAGTGAGAGTTAATTGGAAGTTAATCTGTAGCAAGTTAGTCAGAAGTTAAATAGGGGAAAAGCCCATATTACCAAACAATCTCTCTGGTATAACAAGCTCTCATTTATTGCGGAACTAGATCTTAGGAAATACTCACAGAGAAGAGTATTTTCTTATGGGTTTTGAGCCAAGTGATATTGATTATTATAAGAAAAGCACAAAGTACTACAGAGATATTAGTCATATGATAGTGTAGGAGTCAGCCATATATATTATTAGTGCAAGTGCTCCCTTTTACAATGACTGTTATACATGTTAAGGCCTCCTATAGTTTGCTTTTGTTAGACGTATGTCTTGGTCATTTGCGTAGTTGTGATATTTCTTGACTTATATTGATTTACTTATTTGCACCAATGGCATGGCGTTTATCGTCCTTGGTTCAGTTGATGCAAGTTGTCAGCTAAAGTATTAATTTTAGCTGTAGTAAGTTTTATTTGATAAATTATGACCACTGTTTTCTCTTGATTGATTGTCACCTATTTACTGCAGGAATGAAACCCATGAGGTTATTAAGTACTTAGAATTCTGCGTCCATAATTTGCATAATGAGGACCCTGGGGTGCATAATTTGTTGCTTTCCTTGTATGCCAAACAGGTTGGTATGTCAGTTCATTCTTTGTATAGCTAGATCATTATTTTGTAATTTGTGCTTAAGGTTATTTGAGATTTCATTTCTCTGTAGTTTCAACAAACTACAGTATCTCATTCTCTGTAGTTTTTTTACAGCTGAAGGTTGATCCCTTTTTGTCAAATGTGCGATTTACTATCTTATTTCAGTATCATGCATATGATTTGCTGATGCTGAAAGCCTGAAACTATATTTGTTTTGTTTGTTATCCTTATAATTGAAAAAAAGGATTATTTTGCCATATTGTGCAATTGACTCGTTTCACCCGATACGTATAATTCCTTTTAGTATAGGTAAATCATAAATTATCTGATATGTAACTAATCCTTAGTTTCAGTAAAGGACACACCATGATAGCACGAACATATGTGAGATTGAAATCTGAGAAAATGAAGAATACAAAGTGGTTAAGAAGCATGGATGCCAACACAAGACATTTTTGCTGTACTTTTAATATGTATCCGTTTTATGCAGTTACATATAGTTCACTGTCAACTTTTACTTAGGCTGTGAACCACCATAATTTTGAATGTTTGTCATCTATTCTTCAATGTAGGCATTTAGCAATACTATGATTCTAGAGAATTCATGACTGAAACAATGACGAAGCTTTGATGGATGTACTGGTGTCTTGCTTTTATAATCACTGTATGCTATAATTGGAATTTGAGTCTAATAGCAACTTCTATTAAAACTGTATTCAGGAGGATGAGAGTGCACTGGTGCGATTCTTGCAATTCAAGTTTGGCAGAGGACGGCCAAATGGTCCCGAGTTTTTCTATGATCCCAAATATGCACTTCGGCTCTGTTTAAAGGAAAAGAAAATGCGTGCATGTATTCATATTTATAGCATGATGTCTATGCATGAAGAAGCTGTGGCTCTTGCATTGCAGGTATGTTTTTGTTAAGCATTTTCATGCTTCTCTGTCCTAATTGTTCTGTTTCTCTTTGTTTAGTGTTATCAGCACACTATTCTTTTCTTTTTCGCTCATGCGTTATATTGCTAGATGTTCATAGCAACTGTACAACAACAATAAGCCATAATGTCCTAATTATTTGAATGACCACATGGCTCTTTGTTGCCATCAGTTTCTATTTAGGGCAATATCACTAGTCAAACAAGTAGCAATCAGATCTCTTTTGTTGGTTTTAATAAAGTTTTCTTAGACCTTTATCTGCCTCTCGTCATACCACTACTACATTTTAAAATTTTAAGAAATATAGTATTATGTAACTCCCGGAACAGAGCAAACATGTTATTTAAAATTTTAAATCATATGCATATTAGTTGTTTAGGTTAACGTAATTGGTTTACCCAGGTCCTGTTGTGATGATGTGCTTCTTAGCGGATGTTGGGACATTGAGAGCATATTTTGGCAATTTTTTCAGTTAGATGAAGATTGTCATAGTATATTTAATCATTTTTTCCTAAAAGTTTTATAGTGACATTAGCATGAATGTTCATTCATTAGGTAGACCCAGAACTTGCTATGGCAGAAGCAGATAAAGTTGAAGATGATGAAGACTTGAGAAAGAAATTGTGGCTTATGATTGCAAAACATGTAATTGAGCAAGAGAAGGGAGTTAAGAGGGAGAATATACGAAGAGCAATAGCATTTCTCAAGGAGACTGATGGACTTCTGAAGATTGAGGATATTCTCCCATTCTTCCCGGACTTTGCGCTTATTGATGACTTCAAAGTAAGTTTCCTATTCTCTGACTTTGCACTTGTTGTTGATTTCAAAGTAAGTATTCCTATTCTCAGACAGATTGGTCAATGATGATCCTTGCAAATTCAAACATGATAGTAGACCAAGGTTTCCATTGCTAGCTGTTGATGTTATTTGGATTCACCATTTTGCTAGCTCATGTGTGATTGCATTGGATGATATAGAAAAAAAATCACTGGCTTGTATTTATGTTATAGGAGGCAATCTGTTCTTCATTGGAAGATTACAACAAGCAGATTGAGCAACTGAAACAAGAAATGAATGATGCTACTCATGGCGCAGACAATATACGGAGTGATATCAGTGCTCTCGCCCAAAGATACACTGTTATTGATCGTGATGAAGAATGTGGGGTATTGGTCTGACTCTTATACTTTCTGGAGCCTTATAATACTATCTACTTTGTAGTAGTCCCTCGACAAGTTAGATTAGATCAGTGCTTTTGTTCACTTGAACTTTTAACGGTTACAAACTACACAAGGCTTGAATGGTTTATTTATTGCAATGTGTATTGTGTGGAAAATAAAACCACTTTTGACTAGCTTCAACTCATTTTATTTTTAAGAGTAGATTGGCCACCTTAAAGTGTTCTACTACTTTTCACATTGCATCTAATCTTTCTCTGATTTGATTATTAGGTTTGCAAACGTAAAATATTAACTGCTGGAGGGGCACCTCGGCTGGCTAGAGGCTATACATCAATTGGACCTATGGCCCCTTTCTATGTTTTCCCCTGTGGTCACGCCTTCCATGCGCAATGTCTAATTCGTCATGTGACTGAGTGCACAAGTGAAACTCAAGTAAGTGACAAGTTAGCCATTTTGTTTGTGTTTAGTCTCATTGTGTTGTTTAGCTACCATGTCAGTCATCTGAGAGAAGGCTCAGTAATCTGACATCAGGACTCTTAGCAAGAATTTGAAGGAATTATTACCAGGAAATGGCTGTATAAATCCTGATGGCTCATACAGCCATTTGAATGTCTATTTAACAGCCTCCTTTGCATTTGTTAGTTTTAAACAACCACAATTTAGCTCACTCTTCAGTTTTTCTGAGTTCTAACCACAAATCATATGCTGGCTTAGGCTGAATATATACTAGGCATTCAAAAGAAGCTCAGCTTACTCGGAGAGAAGGCAACAAATGATTCAAGTGTTTCCGCAAATGATGAATCTATCACAAGCATGACACCTCTTGATAAAGTTGGTATACTTTGAACTTTGATTTGTTGCTTCTATAACAACTGAGCTGACATGTAGTTAATTTGATAAAACAGCTACGGTCACAGTTGGATGATGCTATAGCAAATGAGTGCCCTTTCTGTGGTGACTTGATGATCAGAGAAATCTCACTGTCCTTTGTTCTGCCTAGAGAAGCAGAAGAGATGACTTCTTGGGAGATTAAGCCTCACATCACAAGTCAGAAAATTCTACCAATGACCATATGATCTGGCGTTTTCGCCATTCAAATTTGTCTTTGTGTGATTTATGTGTCTGCTTGTGTGATAAAAGGAACTGCCAGCAGCATCCGTTATTTATAACACGTTGAAGTATCCTCTTTTTCTGGCTTTCATTAACATTTAATCTTATGCTTTTCTGAATATGATATTCACTAAATTTTTTTGGACATATTCAAGTAACTGTTTATGTTACTAAGTTGCTAGTTTAATGGTGGGAATATCTATGTGGCTGAGGTCAAATGTATGGGATTTAGTCCTGGTCATGCTTAAAGTTGAAATCAAATGCATGAATTTTCTTTTGTTAGTTTTATGTGTATATATATATATGTATATATGTATGTATATATATATATATACATATGTATACATATGTATATACATATGTATACATATGTATATACATATGTATACATATGTATATACATATGTATA